CCCTGAGTCCGCAAGGAGAAGGGCGGGATATAAATATAAACAATAAATAAATAAATAAATAAACTATACCTATGCATTTGTTTTTTCTTGCCTAAATATAGAACCTTACTTTTTTCACCATTGAATTTCATTTTGTTAGATAGCGCCCAATGTTCATGTCTGTCCAGATCCTTCTGTATCTTAAGCCTGTCTTTTGGAGTGTTGGCTATTCCTGCCAGCTTGGTGTCATATGAGATAGAAACTGGCTGTTAAACTTTATACTGACACATCAAAAGGATACTATAGATAAGCACACAGTCAGCTCTAACTCTGACAGGTAGAAGTACGCTTAGACTTCACCTTTATTGCTAATCTCGTGTAACACTGAAGTGAATCCAGGAAAATAGCTATAGGTTCCAGAAGCCATTAGTCCTTTGGACTGCTAAATCCTGCTAACCATCTGACACCCTTAATATGACTGAGTTAATTGGAAAAGTTAAAATAAATGCTTTCCATATACTTACTCTGAGGACACCATTTATCTTCAGCCCATCTGTTACAATTGTAATTGTCAATAACATTGTCACAAGTAAAGCACTTGAAGCTGCTTGGAAATGGAGTAGCTTTAAAATTAAATGAAAGGAGGGAAATGTTAAATACTTTATTCTGATGACTCTAAATTCTCCTATTCCCCTCAATTAGACCTCAAACAGGAGGGAATTATTTTACAATATACTATGTTCAATTAACTTCTTCTTTTTTTCCTAACCCAAGCGTAAGCATGTTAGAGCTAAGCCCCATTAAGTTCACTTGGATTTACTCCCCAAGTGATTAAGCAAAAAAACATTCTTTTAAAAGGTGCAAAATCTGCTTAGCTTGATTTTAACTTTACATCATGTTAGAAGACTGGTTCAAGTGAACCTAGAACAGATCCACAACATGAACCTTGTCCAGATGTGTGGACTTCAATTCCCAGAATTCCTGACAGGAAAGCCACAATTGAACATTCTGGGATGTAAAGACTACACCTCAGGAGAGTATCTAAGTTGGGAAAGGTTGACCTAGAAATGTCTATGGAGATTCTCAATCATCAAGGTCATGATTGTCCCAAAGGTGCTTTTCCAAAAGGAAAAAAGGAAAAGAACCAAGAAAGGACAGTTGTCTTTTGAATTGACCTAGAAAGTAAATATGTGCCATGCCCAAATGGGCCATTGATATGCAACATTAACAAACTCCAAGCATCTGATGCAAGGGGAGAGCAGCTAAGTTCAATATTAAGTCCAAGACTATCCAATAGTCTTGGCCACTTTAAGGCACGTAGACCTCAACTCCCAGAATTCCTGAGCCATCATGGCGTCTTAAAGTTGTCGAGATTGGGAAGTCCTGGCTTACTTCATTGTGGGACATCTTTCCCTTGGCGGTAAATTATATGAGACATGTTGCTCTTTGTAACTTTGGCACAACTTCCTACAAACCACTGGTGAAAGTGTTGGATTAGAGGCAGGGTCTCTAGGCCATGGAAGCTCACCCTGTGACTTCAGTCCAATTGCTCTCTTTCTACTCTGCTCTCGTGGGGGGAAAAGTAGATCTGGCTCTGCACCTAAACATTGATGCATACTGAATAAAAATACTAATGCTGCTGCCACATTTGCCAATAAACAGATCAGATGCCTGAACTTGAAGCAGCATGCACTGGGGTTTTTTTTTCCCCTGATGCGCCTTCCCTCAAACAGGATAAACATCGAAAACTGCAGTGCTCAAGGAATGCTGCAGAACTGTGCACACAGCAAAAGTATTAGAAGCACATAGGGAAGGCAATAAAAAGGTATTATAACTTAATCAGATGAACACCCAGGTGCACATTTTAGGCCATTAATCAGGCATTCCGCCTAATAATTAACTATCACCGAAGACGGTCAAATTAATGTTTTGCTCTTAGGCCCATGCATAATTGTAATATAAAATAACCTTTTAAAAAGGTTTGAAGGGCTCAGCATAAAATGGCTGGAAATGTTTGGAAAGGAGTTATTTACCGATGCCAAGGAACTGGAACGGGCTACTTACGGTCTACTGGAAGTCTCACGTTGTAGAAGTTGATGTTCTTGGCTAAAATCCAGTTGCCTGAAACTAGGAGGATCTGAACAAAAGCTACCGCCAGCGTGTGACAGAGTAATGGCATACCGTCAATGTAGCTTAGAGCTTAATGCTCTCATACCTATAAGGGGGGGGGGAGTGAGAAAAGGAGAGAAATGCCACTTTGTTATAATAAGAGCAAGAGGACGGAGTGTGTTTAGCATAATCTCTACAATATTAGCCTCATAACACAGTTGATGGAATCAAGATAATTAGGGGAAAATATCAGCATTGCAAAGCTAAGCTGTTCCTGCCTCCTACTGGAAAAGTTTGGGCTATACAGGACAGCAAAATACCCTGGCAGGCAGGGGCAGCAGTGGAAATTTAAAAAAACAAAACAAAACAAAACCCACCACCATCTGGGTTCTAAGCTTGAATGGATCAAATCAAAAGAGATTTAGAAAGTACAAGACAGAATCCACAGGCAATTTATCCTTCATTAGGTAACGTTTCTAAATTAAGTAACAGTCTTGACGTGTTTATGAACGGGTAATTGTCCCAAAATGAATAGTCGGATCATCATTGTGAATAGTAGACATTGTCAGCTTTTTCACACAGAGGTTGCTCCTGTGCTTCTGATGAAATTGAAAGCTTAGAGCACATCTCACTGGGATGTAGTTTTTACTAAAGAACTGCACCCCCCCCCCCCAATTAATTCAACTGCTGGACTGGCTGGCCACTCAGGCCAATTCAGAATTTTTCCTAAACGAAATCACCTATAGGATAGCTAAATCCCATGCCTAGTCCTTAAGGCTTCCCTATGTTCAGAGCTGACAAAGAAAAGTAGTGGCATACGTCAGGGCTTTTCAACCTTTTCACCCATTGTACCACTTTTAGGATATGGCAACATCCGAGTACCACCAGTCGCCTAGCAAGGTGTCAAAAACTTGATGACCAAAAAAAGGAAAAAAGTGATAAAGTACAGGTAGTCTTCTACTTACAACAGTTCGCTTAGTGACTGTTCGAAGTTACAATGGCACTGAAAAAAGTGCCCTCCCAAACCACAGCCTGCCCGCCCGGCAGCGCTCTTCCTCCTGTCCGAGGTTTTCATCGTTGTGAGCATTTCTGTTGAGGATTGGCCGTGGGGGTGGGATGGGGGGTGTTTGGTTTTTATTCCCACGGACTGCTGGGTGGTTGCAGCAGGTTTTGGTCACTTCAAATGACCCTGGGACACTGACCATCATAAATATGAATCAGTTGCCAAGCATCTGAATGTAAATCACAAGACCCTGGAGATGCTGCAACATTCCAGCTGATCGGCGCTTCTTCTGGGTTCAGCAGAAGCGCCAGGATCAGTGCTGCTTTCCAGCTGATTGGTGCTTCTTCAGGGCTCAGCAGAAGCACCAGGATCAGCGCCAAGCTCCAGCTGGAGCCTGGCACTGATCCTGGTGCTTCCACTGAGCCCTGACAGCCCCGAAGAAGCGCCAATCAGCTGGAAAGCGGCATTGATCCTGGTGCTTCCGCTGAGTCCTGACAGCCCTGCAGCTCCAGCCATCTCTCGCTCAGGCTTGTGTGGTGCTGCCACCGGTTCAGCTCATTCCCCTCCCCCACTACTTTTCTAAGATGGTCGCGTACCACCTGCCAGGTGCCAATGTACCACAGGTGGTACCCGTACTACTGGTTGAAAAGCCCTGGCATACGTAATGAGACTGTACTGTATTCTCAAAGTGTATTTAGTTGTTCTACGTTTTATGTTCTGATCTTGGAATCTAGAAAAATGTTTATTCCTGCTCAAGTCATCTTCTTTTACTTTTCATTAATTAGTCTAGAATAATAGGATACTGTGGTGCTTAACTTCCACCCGTCAGGATAATAGAATAACAGAGCTGGAAGGGACCTTGGAGGTCTTCTAGTCCAACCCTTTGCTCAGGCAGGAAGCCCTATATACCATTTCAGACAAATAGTTGTCCAACCTCTTCCTAAAAACCTCCAGTGTTGAAGCATCCACAACTTCCGAAGGCAAGCTGTTCCATTGATTAACTGTTCTCCCTGCCAGGAAAACACATGTCCCCGGGTCATGTGATCACCTTTAGAGAACTTTTGACAAGTGAAGTCAATGGGGAAGCCAGATTCACTTAACCACCGTGTTACTACCTTAACAACTGCACTGATTCACTTAACAACTGTGGCAAGAAAGGTTGTAAAATGGGGCTAAACTGACTTTGCTTGGCAATGGAAATTTTGAGCTGAATTGTCCTCGTAGTTCGAACGCTACCTGTACTATTGTGATTTCTTTGCGATAATTCCTATCACCAGTATCCAGATAGAAAGGAGGATTTTTCCTAATACCAGTCAATCACAGAACTGGAAAAGTCCATTTAATTTGGATGCCTGCACTGAAGTGCTGGTCAGTGCAGGAATCCAAATTAAAACATTTCCAGGAAATGTCTAACCAGTTTCCCCTTATCCCATCCAACCATCCAGGGAACATGAGCATTTTTCTTAGGGAAATTTCTCCTCCAGTTTTTGCTGCTACAAAGCAACCTTCTATATCTCCCACGTCCATCCGAAGACCCTTGCTGCTAAAAGGAAACCCAGTCACTTTCTGAAACAGTATTATTCCGTGGCACTTGCTACTAGAATTCAGAAGACATGGCTGAGAATTTCCATTAAGCACACTTCTGGCACAGCTGCATCCTTAAGGATCCTTGCGTATAAATAGTAGTTTCGTGGGACGAATACTGCTTCCAGAATACAGTACCGCCATCTTAAAGGCGAGACCGCCTTCTGCCGCAGACTACCTCCCATCGGCCGATACGCTCCCACAGAGTGGGTCTCCTCAGGGTGCCGTCAGCCAGACAGTGCCGGCTGGCGACCCCCAGGGGGAGGGCCTTCTCGGTGGGAGCTCCCACCCTATGGAACGAACTACCCCCAGAGATCCGGGTGATCCCGGATCTCCCTTCCTTCCGCTGCGCCCTTAAGACATGGTTATTTAAGTTGGCAGGACTGGCCTAAGGGTTTTTAGCTTGGTTTTATAATAATTTTTAAAAATAACAAAGGCCTAATAATATTTCATTTTAATCAACATTTTAACTTTAGTATTTTCTGTATTTCTGTATTTGTTTTAAAAGGCTGTAAGCCGCCCTGAGTCCGCAGGGAGAAGGGCGGGGTAAAAATATAAATAATAAATAAATAAATAAATAAAGATCTTTGCATCTGTTTGTCACCAAGCAGATGAGAATTGGCTTGGCTTTTTTTGTGTGTGTTTTGTTCTGCTGTAATTCTTTTGCTTCCAAGTAGCACAAGGCTGTTGGAAAGAGGCACACAGCAATTAAATTCTTCACAGGGATTTTTGCCCACAGAACACTGTGGATCATTCCATTTTAGTAATATTTGGGTGGCTCAGTGATTAGAATGCAGTACTGCAGCTACTTCTGCTGATTGCTGGCTGCCAGCAGTTCAGCAGTTCGAGTCTCACCAGCTCAAGGTTGACTCAGCCTTCCATCCTTCAGAGGTCGGTAAAATGAGGACCCAGATTGTTGGGTGCAATATGCTGACTCTGTAAACTGCTTAGAGAGGGCTGTAAAACACTGTGAAGTGGTATATAAGTCTACGTGCTATTGCTAACCAACAAAGTCAGATAGGAAGAGTAGGTTGCCTTTAAAAGATTCTAAAAATGTTGTAAACGTCGGCTGTATATGCTGCTAAAACTCCCTGCATTTCCCCCCAGTTTGGTCTTAAAGTGTATCACACTATACAGTATTCTTCAAGCATCCCATTAGCTAAAGAGTTCACAATCTAGTACCACTCATACTTGTCTCAACTTCTGTCTACTTTGGGAGCATTCAGTGTTTGTCCACCACATGAACACTACTTCCATTTATATCAAACACGAATGGGTGCCTCTAACAGCCCATTATACACAGCAAAACCACAAAACTGCCCTCATGCCACATACGTTTTTTCCCCAATTGTTGATGCTTAAAAATGAATTGCCCGAGGCAAAGCAAGTACACAAGGTAAATGTATTTCACACATTACACTAGTAATATAATGTGGCGTGACAACCAGTCAAAATATGAATTCAGATCTTTTGCAGTCCTCCCTGTATTTTCCTGCTAATCTGATCTATGATGCCAGAATAATTCAAAACCAAAATTAAACTCCAGACCATGTGCAAGACTCACACACGGTGCTTTCTGAGTTCACTTGAGGCTTTTGGTCTCATATTAAAAACAATAGATCAGATTGGATCTCTGGATGGTAAGAGATCTGCACTTTTTCTGCAACTTGAAAGAGAAGGAAGGAGACATCAGAAAACGAAAAAAACCTAGATAGCCCTGGGCTATGCAAATCTGTGATTTTCCATTCCTCATTTTTTTTACAAGAATGTCAAATTTGGTTCTTTGAACCTGTTTCCTTTTTCAAGTTTCCACTGGAATTTGTGCCTATTCAAAATTATTTTGATGCATAGTTCTCCAAATATTTTCCATTACTGCTTTCTTAATGTACACAGACATTTTTGTGATATAATGTGATGACTGGTATAGGTGCATTATTTTTAAGAAATATGCACCACTGTACAAACTTCCACAAGCACACACGCACCGACACACACAAATATCTATATATTTAAACCGCATTGCAGAATCTGAAGGCCTCTGTTTAGTGTATTACTTTCTGTATTGCTTTGAAAATGAGAAATCAGATCAATTCACACTCAAATGCAAACTAAAGAATTTGTCCCCCACACACACATTGTTTAATTCTGAGCACAAGTTACCCCAGAGAGAACGTGACCTGTGAATTTGTTTAACAAATCAGATTAGGTATCTATCACAAACCAGTTTCCTTAACTAGAACTGGTGATGATTGTTTAATCTCCTCCTGACTGTGATCAGTCAAAGCCAGAGAGATTCCCTAATTCTCTTTCTCTCATTGAATTGAAAATGCCAATCTTAGAGATGCAAATATGAAGCCGGTAGGGCTGTTTGCTTGTTAGTTAGCTAGCAGAAAAGTTATCCTGGAGGAGGTGGGTTTCTTTTCTTCCTCTCAAGAAGTGCGTAATGCAGGAAAGGAAAGTGTTAACTCTATGGTATGCATCTCTGCAAGGGCAACCTCTTCTCCAGGATACTTAT